CATCAAGTATCCTGTGTGAGACTGTGTTCGGTGTTTTCCTACGGTTTCTTTGGATCTGTTTTGGGTGGGTCTTGGGGTCTTGCGGGGGGGGGGTCTTCCGATTTTGTTTTTCGGGGCTTTGCGAGGGTTTTTCGTGTCGTTGTCGTGTGCTTCGGGGCAGGGTTTTTGGCGCTTTTGTGGTTTTACTCGGGTTTTCGGCTTTTTCCTACGGTTTCTTTGGATCTTTTTTGGGGTGTCTTGGGGTCTTGGGGGGTCGTCCGATGGTTTCTTCGGTTTTTTCCTGCGGTTTCTTAGGATCTTTTTTGGGGGGTCTTGGGGTCTTGGGGTGGTTCTTCCGATGGTTTTTCCGGTTTTTCCTACGGTTTCTTTGGATCTTTTTTGGGTGGTCTTGGGGTCTTTGGGGAGGGGTCTTGGGGTCTTGGGGGGTCTTCCGATGGTTTTTTTCAGGGCTTTGCGAGGGTTTTTCGTGTCGTCGGTGTCCCTGTACAGGGCCAAACCGAAGTCATTTCATCACAGCCCTGTACAGGGCCGTGCATGAAGTCTCTGTCTGTGTGTCTCGGTGTGTGCATGTGTGTGTGGGTGTGCGTGTGCGAAACGAACATCAAGTTGCAGAAGTGGCACGCAAGCGATTTCTGTGTTTTTGTCAACCACTGAGCACAGCCAAAACTTCAATCCGAGACATCTTTGCGATGATTCGGAGACTGTACAGCAACGTCGCCGGATCTTTTGCAAGGTTTGTCACCGAAACTCTTTTGACACCGAGTGCAAACACTGCAACCTTACTTGCCGGCGATCTTGCTTTCGAGGTCGCTGCACATATTGGCCTTCATTGACACGACCTCTTCCTCGGGAGTGCCATCTCGCAAGAAACTGATCAAAACCTCGGCGATCTCAGTATTCTGCTCGAAAGAGGCACCCTTGGCTTTGACTTGCAACACCTGCCCACCGCTTGTTCGCGATATCGCCATCGCCTGCGTCTTGCGGTAGGGTCGGAGCTTGTAGCCGCGTTTCTCGTCCTCGTGCTGGTCCTGATGCTCATTCTCATTCTCGTCTGCTGCAGCCGGTCGCTTCATCCCCTTGGATGGATTCTTCTTCTCCATGGGTGGATTCGTCTTCTCAGGCGGATTCTTCTCCTCAGGCAGATTCTTCTCGCTCTGCTCCGACGGATTCTTCTCCTTCGGCGGATTCTTCTTCTCCGGCGGATTCTTCTCCGACGGATTCTTCTCCTTCGGATTCGGCGGATTCTTCTTCTCCTTGGGCGGATTCGTCTTCTTGGGCTTGGCCTTCTCCTTTGGAGTGGTCTGTTTCTTCTGCTTCTCCAACTGCTTCTGAACGGGCTCAGCCTCCGACGAGTCGGAGAGGTCGTTGTTGTTCCCCAAAAACATGATATCTAGGCTCGAAGGCAGGACGGGGCACCGACAACTCGAGATTAAACAGGCTGGCGAAACCAAGCAAAGGAGACGTCCAAGCAACTCAACATCAGGACTGGCAAAAGCAAGGCAACTCACCGGCTTGTTGCGTTGTCTTGTACCGGTTGTAGCTCCTTCTCAGCCACAGGGCGGGTTGAAAGATTGCGGGAAGCTCTGCGAACTGTCGTGCCAGCACATGCAAGCTAATTTTGTTTCCAACTTGATTGTCATGGTGTGCAGCATACCGACATGTACTCTAGAGCACGTGCTGAGACATGACAGAAACAAAACCGCGGCTTCGAATTGTCCTGATAGCAAAAGGCTCATGTGATCTTGTAAAAGAAGCCCGGCTCCAAGTGTGTGCTGCAGATCAAGACGAGCTTCGGCTTGCTGGGCTTCACCAAGGCCGGCGGCTGGCTTTGCAAAGTGCATCGCCACAGGATCTTCACATTGTTCAGCTCTGTGATGCGGTGGAAGTTGCCAATGAAAGCTGCTCCAGCCACATCTCTCTTTAGGATGCCCTCTGCGATTTGGTCAGGTCATCAGTGAGGTCTGCCGGGTTGTAGACGATCCAAGAGTTCTGCTCGGGCTCCAGCTCGCTTCTCATGAAGATCTCGTTCTCCCCGTCCTGCAATGTTTCGTTCGGTTTGAGGAACATTTTGAAACCCTGTACCCCATGGCGTCTCGAAACCCGAAATCCTGCCTTGAGACCTGTGAGCTTGAAATTCTGGAGGCCGATGTCCGGAATGTTCATTTCCTTCAAGGCGTGGTACCGAGCTTCTGCCACTGTGCAAATTCTGCGTTCACCGGGAGAGGTTTCCAGGATAATTTTAGCCACATCATCCGAGAGCGACCACAGAATCGATTTGTTGGCATCCGGCAGCGATTCGACTGGGAATTGCAGGGTGGGTTTCGTGGGTTTCAGGGTTCAGGGTTAAGGGTTGAGGGGTCTTAATGAAACAAGCAGAAGGGTGCCTTTGAGCAATTCCCCCACGTTGAATCCACAGATCTCCGAGGGCTCCAAGCTCAGAGTGGCCTCCACACTGAAGTAGAGCTCCCAGTCCTTCGTGATGTGCATAGCCGGCAAACTTCTTGTGCCCCGGACGGAGAACAGCCTGCCCAGAGGGAGTAAGTACGATACTACAGTGTTGTTTCGAAGTGTCTCTATATATATATATATATTTATATATTTATCTATTTATATTTATATTTGTTTATGTTTATGTTTATATTTATATTTATGTTTATAGTCATATTTATATGTATATTTATATTTATATCTATATATTTATATCTATATTTATCTTTATATTTATATTTATATTTATATTTTATTTCTAATACATATTTATACATAAATAAATAAATAAATAAATAAACAAATAAATAAATATATATATATATATATTTGTTTATATATATATATACTTATAGTTTTATATTTATACTGATCTTTGGGGTTGCATGTTTCTTGTCTTGCAGTCCCAGCCACACATCGTCCATGTTGAACTCGGCAGCGGGCCGGTTGGGGAAGATAACTCTCGAGGGCTCCGTCGCGAAAGGCGGGTAGGTGAAGTCGGGCCCAGCAGGGCCACCACGAGCCGACTGAGCAGAACCGGGGCTCGGGATCGAAACCGAGATCCTGGGAAGCACTTGATCCTTGATGCATTGCCTGAAGTCAGCAACCAAGGCATTCCATTTGTCCGAAAAGGTCTCGTTGCCGTCGAACTTGGAAACAACGATGGGCGGTAGCGAGGGAAGTCCATCTTGAAAAGTTGCAAGCTTGACGTCTGGAAACTCCAGAGGCTGCGAAGTTGGCTCCGGTGGTCCAGCTTGCGGCTGCTGAGGCCACCACTGCTGCATGAGTAGACTCTGCAAGTGCGGCCTCACTGCATTCTTTTCCTTGCAGAAGCCGATGTAGGACAAGATCGGTTTATCGTTCTGCGTAGCCCACTTGTCCTTGAGCTGCAACACTCCCTCTGCCCAATCTGGACAGTTTGGAGCCATTCTTGCCTCCACGACAGTCAGCACAGAGTCGGATCCAGTGACATTGGTGTCCTTGATGATGGTCTCGAGGATGGCGGCTGCTGCTTCTGGCCCTCTCTGCAGGAGACGTTCTTGTGGAGAGAGGTATCAGGAGTCTTGTGAGTTCACGGATCCAGGCATGCTGAGTTTTTTCATCTCCCGAACCCTGACCAAAGGTACCCCGTCGATCTTCCCCCTTGAGACTGCAGACTGTAGCCAGCCATCTGCGTTCACCTTGGTACTCACGGCCAAGCGAGCCTGTGCTGCTAAGCGTCTTCTGTCAGAGGCGTGCATCCCATCGATGTTGTAGTGGATGCTAATGGGGTTCTCCACACTGATCCCCGCTGCGAGGAGTTTGTCCTCGATTCGGCGTTGCCCCGAAAGGACTGCCGTCATTGCTTGGTTCTTGTTGTACTGCTGAGGGAGCAGGTAGAAGAGTGCATTCTGCCCACTGGCGTGAAGCATGCTTGCAGCGAACTTCACAATCTCGTCGATTTCGCCGTTGGACGGCGTGATAGATAGGTCCACCACCACGAGCAAGAACCTGCAAAGATAACAAGGTCTGATATGGGTTTTGGGTTTATTGTTTGGTCTTGACTCTCACCCCCGAAACCCGAAACCGTAGATTCTAAACCCTGAAACATCGTAAATCCTAAACCTTAGGGGCTCAAAACATGAACTGCAGAATCTAAGTTTACATCCCGCCTTTTTGCTGCATTGGCCCCAACTGTCTCAAAGACGTTCTTCCGAAACTCGGCCACCTTCATCTCCCACTCGGATAGAGGGGCAGTAACCACCTTCAGCCAGGAATCCATGTGAGCCTCGACGGCGGCCAGGCCTTTGATGTACCGTTTTCGCTGGTGACTCAGAACGACACTGGCAGCTGTAGCGGTCCTCTGGTGTTCCTTCTTGGCCCAGTCCAGCAATTTTGCCTTGTCATCCGAGAGATCGTTTTCCATCTTGTTGAACGTAGCGGCTTCCACTTGGATTTGTAGAGCCTTCGACTTGGCAATCGCGGCCTGCTGGATGTTTCAAGGTTTTGGGTTTGGGGAGGTTTAGGGTTTAGGGTTTATAGGGTCTAGGGGAGAAGTTTAGGAGCACGGAGGGCACGTGGTGAGAAGTGGGTTTTATTCGGTTTGGGGTAAAGCCTTCTCGAGTTCGCTGGCATGGGTCTGCAGCAGCACGGCAATGTCGGGGATTTCCTGTAGGTTGATTGTCGCGGGGCATTCCACAGCCATCTGGTACAGCTGATCGTCGAATGCTCCGGTCTCGAAAGCCTGTTTCAGGTTCTTCTCGGAATTCCCGTACTGCTCGGCGGTCAACTGGGTCCGGAGCTCGGCAAGAACGACCTCCCAAACCCTGCAGATCCTGCTCATTCTTGCAACCTCGTTTGGGCCATTCTCATCCCGGGAGCTTGTGCTCGGTAGTCCTGCACCAGGCGGCGGCAGGTGAGTAGGACTGAGCTGCTTGTCAAGCATAAGCGATCCCGCCAATCCGGCACCGTGCACTCGAAGCTGTGGCCCACTCGCAAAGCCAAGCAGCCTAGTCCGGCGTGGCTGACAACCCCCTTCTTCATGCCGAATTGGATAGCCGCTTGTGCAAGTATCTCTTTCGCTTGCACTGGTATAAAATGGACCAAATTGACGACAGCTTGGGATTCTGCCGGCCCCATGCCGGGCACCGATCGCACGGATTTCGGATTTTCGTAGGCCTTGACCACCTGTTCGATGGTTTCGCCGTGCCTGACTCTGCGATAGAGTTGAAGCAGTGTGGAGCCGTTCTCGTCACGACGGAAGCCATGGTGATGTCTGGGTCGGAGAGCAGGGCGGTTTAGGGCATCGGGATTGGGGCTGTGACATGAGGGTTTAGTTACGTTTAGTTTTGCATTTAGATCTGCGTGCTCGTATTTCGAAGCCCCGAAAAGTGCACCCAAAGCCAAATACAACCCCCCGAATTCTGCACCCACAGCTAAACCCTAAACCCTAAAAGAAAAAACCCTAAACCCAACTTTGCCGAGCTGCCCCGGTGCGCGGCGATGCGATCGATCTCGGATCCCCCTCCATCAGATGGCACCATTCCCTTCATGACACAGAAGCTCTGGTACTGGTCGGGGAGCTGCTCTTTGTAGTAATCCACCACATTGAGCTCGGTGATGATAAAGGCGGCGGTTGTCATGGCAAGGCATCTTGACCAGCCCTTGAGCAGGGCGACGGAGTTCAAGCCCATGGTGTTCGGAACCAATTCGGGGGTGTCCCAAGGAGAATCGAAGTAGATCGGTTGAACTGGTTGCAGAACAGGGTATTCCGTTCCAGCCAGCAGCGAGGCGTCTGTTTTGAAGCCCTGCAAGAGGATCAACTGCACCAGGCTACTGAACACGTCGTTACTGGCCATGCCACGGTTCCCGCCTTGCGGATGCCAGCATGTCTGCCAAAACTGCAAGGTTTTGACACCACTGCTCAGATCTGGGGAGAGGGTCTGGGTGCTTGGCAGGGGAAAGGCTTGCAAGAACCTCTCGGCCAGGGCTTTCCGGGCGTCGACATTCGGAAAAGTAGTTTCAAAAAAGTGGGCAGCCCCCCGGTCGCCTAGGATCTTCTCAAGCAGCAGTGTCGCATCCCCCCACCAGGGTATTGCCTCTGCTGCGACCAAGGCCTTGGCCACCTGAGGGTCCAGCTCCTCGGTCGAGTTCCGACGTGGGAGCTTCGAAGCCTTTGCCTTGGCAGCACCGGAATCGGCACCGCCACCACGTTTTCCCATCAGGAGCCGTGGTTCACACAGGCACAAACACACTCTCAGCCACACCTGCTGCTACGACAGTGAACAATCCTAGCAATACGTGTTGCAAGAGATGACAAGATACGTTGGCGGCAGTTTTCAACAACAGCAGCCATGCAGAACATGCGAAGCAATCTGGAACTGGCACTTTATCACAAGACTTGGTTGGGGCTGTCTCCGGAGTTGAAGAAAACCAGGATGTAATAGAAGAGCGAGCAGCTTCTCCGAAGCAGTTCCTTGGTTCAGAAGCTATAACCGAACTGCCACCAATGAGGCTGGGAGCTATGCAGCCAGTGGCCCGGAAGGGCTAAGTTTTTGTGCATCAAGACATTTGGTGGGTTCTGAAGCAAGGGCTAAGTTCTTGTCCATCAAGATTATAGATCAGTCGTGCGGGGTTCGGGGTTTGCGATAGATCACCCGTGCAGGGTTTGGTGTTTGTGATAGATCGCCCGTGCGGTGCCCGGGGTTTGCGATAGATCACCCTTGCAGGGTTTGGTGTTTGTGATAGATCGCCCGTGCGAGGTTCTGGGTTTGTGATAGATCACCCGTGCGGGGTTCGGCGTTTGTGATAGATCGCCCGTGCGAGGTTCTGGGTTTGTGATAGATCACCCGTGCGGGGTTCGGCGTTTGTGATATCCGTGGTCTGCGTCTATCACAAAACCGGCCCTGTAGCGGGAGCTGTCTTTTGTGATATCTGCAGTCTGCGGATATCACAAAACACCTGGGCTTGCAGAGGACAGCCCCAAATCCCGTGGTTTGGCGTCCCCAGGAAACCTTTGCAACATTAGATTTTTGTGATATCCGCAGTCTGCGTCTATCACAAAAACCGGGTTTTTGTGCCAAGCCCGTTTGTGATTAATCGAGGCTCCCAGTGAAGGGTTCTGGGTTTGTGATAGATCAGTCGTGCGGGGTTCTGGGTTTGTGATAGATCACCCGTGTGGGGTTCTGGGTTTGTGATAGATCACCCGTGTGGGGTTCTGGGTTTGTGACAGATCACCCGTGTGGGGTTCTGGGTTTGTGATAGATCACCCGTGCGGGGTTCCTGTGCCGGGTTCGGGGTTTGTGATAGATCGCTCGTGCGTGGACTCCTGTGTGTGATTGATTCGAGGTTCCCAAACCATGGATCCTTTTTGTGTGCAGCCGTGGTTGCTTATGGTAGATTAATCTGCTCCCGTTTTGATTTTGCTCGCGTTTGATAACTGCCAAGACTCTAGGACCTCTAGGACTCCCTCTGAAACTCGGCCTCCAAGGGCATACCAGCATCACCAGCATCATCCACCAGCTCGCCGGCCGGGACTGCAAGCGAGGACTCCATGCTCGACCGAACGGAGGGCGGCAGGTAGCCCCACATCTTGTAGGCCTGGGCATAGGCCTCCAACCATGTCATGCCGTTTTGATGTAAGTCTCGTGCAACATCGTTCAGCACAGACATCTTCGCATTGCACTCAGACTCCCCACTCCCGGCAGCAGCATTGTGCACACGAAGCACGGACGGAGCCGGCTCCATAGACATCGCAGACATTCCCACATTTGCTCGTGCGACAGGAGACCTTCCAGCGAACCTCCGAAACTCCAGGCCATCGAGGGGTGGCTGCTTAGCCAGTGTGCCATCAACCCAGCTTCGCAAATAGCCAGCAGCCTTATGCAGGGTGAACGGATGTGTCGTGATTGCTGCGGCCAGGCCTTTGACCATTTTCACATACTTCTCTGGCTTGGGTCGGCGATCTACGAAGCCTGCGATGTGGGGGCGTTGGGCTCTGGGTTGTGGGTTGAAGGTTTAGGGTTCCAGGGTTTTGGGTTTTGCAGGGTTTGGGGGTTTGGGGGTTTTGGGTTTAGGGGTTTAAGGACTAGGGGTTTTACAGCCAAGGCCTGTCGGCGGTTGTGGGTTGAGGGTTTAGGGTTCCAGGGTTTTGGGTTTTGTGGGGTTTGGGGGTTTGGGGTTTAGGGTTTAAGGGTTTCAGGACTAGGGGTTTTATAGCCAAGGCCTGTCGGCTTGCCCCCTGGAAGGTTCCGAACATCAGCTTGGGTAAGATAGACCAAACGAGAGCTGTAGTTCGAGTCTGCCATCCACTGCTTGCACCTCACTTTAAAAACCCTCAAGCCGTAAAACTCTATAAACCCTGGACATGCTGCCTCGAATGCGCTGGTCCCCTAAACCCGGGATCCAGAACGTGTCAGGTCGAGCTGCAGGAGCATCACATCGCTTGCAGCCCCACCGGATGCCAAGGCATCGTCTGGATCCAAGCCTCATCGGACGGGGTGGGGTTTAGAGATTGTGGTTTAGTGTTTTGGGGTTTTTGGTTCAAGATTTAGGGTTGTCGAATAGGTGCAGTTGGGTTGAGTTATTGTTCATCTCTCTCTCCCTCTCTAGCTCGGCTCTCTCGGTCGCTCCAACATGAAAGGATGGATAATCGAAAGAAAGGAGCTGTCCCTGCGACGAAACTCGAAGTGGTGTGGGGCAGCCGGACCAGAAATCCCAGAGATCCGTTTGCCAAGACACTCGAAAAAGCTTTTCCAATCCCTTACCCAGTCATGTTTGAAGGCACACCGGTCCGGCTCTTTCGGCCGCGTGAAAGGGAGAAACTTGGTGTTGAGTTCCGTGATAAGCTGGTCCGGAGTTTGGCAAACAGGAAGTTTACGACGAACAAAGCCTCAGATCACGGAAAAGGGCAGGGAATAAGACTGCAATCAGACAATGACAAGCAACCTGCCAGTTCGCCCAGCCATTGGTCGATGTCCTCACAGGGGGCTTCAGCATTAAGGCTTCAAGCTTCATTGTAGTCTGTAGCAGCCAACCTCGCACCCAACCTCCCAAGTCCTTATGTGTATGCCCCACACGAAGGAAGCATAAGCGGACAGAAGAAAGTAGTTTGAAGTGAGCACAGCATGCTGCAAAAGCCAGTGTGGCATTGTTTTTGTTACACGAACTCGTGTTGTCGAGTTGGACACAGAAGTCGAATTTGTCCAATGGACAACCTTTGCTTCGAAGCTTGGACAGTACGAAGACCAGCAAATCAACCAAAGTACTGCCCCCCTTGGATGCGTCGGCGTCCGAGACAGCTATATAAGCACCCCACCCGTGGACCAGGATGCCCCATACATGAAGTCGAGGTCGCACGAACTGCTGAAATAAGTGATCATTGAAAAGGGGGCTCTTGGGAACGGAGAACTTTGCTTGATCGATAGCATCCACGACCACAGTGATGATGTTGTAATGCGACCGACTGCTGCTCCTATTTTGCCAATAGACTTTTCTGTCAGCATATTGGGCTTGCAGGTGCCGATCATAAAGGTGGCGTTGTCTGAGTCTGCTCGTCGCGTCGCAACCCAAGTGTCGAAGCATCAATTTATGCTTGACACATGTTGTGCAAATCCCGAACGTATATTTGTTGCGGAACGTGAGTTTGTGGCCGAACTCTTCCTTCCAGGCTTTCGAGAAACATTGCCAAGAGCAGGTCGAATTCGACACAGCCCGGTACTGTCGCCAGGACTCGTACATGCTGCCCGGGGGCAAATATCTCAGCTGTTCGCTGTTGGTCGGAGCGACGTTGTAAGCAGTGAAGTCGTCGTCGACATGCTCTTGTTCGGGCTGATCGAAAGGCAAAGTCTCAGCAACACTGTCGTAGAGAGTTTGCAAGTGGGACACAACCTCACTGTAGACAGGTCTGGGGTCGTTCAAGGGCCTCGACATAAAGCGTTTGTCAAGTGGAGCAGACCGACGATTTTGTAGAACTGCTTTGAGCAAGGTTGTCAGTCGAGGGTTCCATCCAACTCCCAACAATTCAGCTAGGCCAAGCTTGCAAACATTGAACCCCAGGAATTGGTACTGCATCTTCGCATGCGTGTCAACTGTGTCGTCCTCCGGGGCATTCGCCTCTGCAGCTGGAGCCAGAACACCCTGGCTGAGGGCGATCTCCCGAAGCATGTCGAACAACTTGGTAGGGCAAGGCTTCAGCACTTCAGGTTAGTACAGAAAGCGATAGCAGTACATCGTGGGCTTCAGCTTATCCATGCATTCAGAATTTTAGATGTTTACACATCACATGAATGGTGCATGGCTGATTCGGCTGCAACAACTTAAAACTTCACAAACGGGATCGAGTAACAGACATGCAGGCAAGGCTACACTTAAAAACCTTCTGCAGAGCAAGCAAGGTACCAGTTGGTCCTGGTCTAACTTGTGCAATTTCACGAATGCCTCCCTCCAGGCCATGAGCCTCTTCCACGGGGCTGGATCCAAGAACTGGGCAAAGCAGGAGGCCTGGTTCGTCGTGGCGTAGCATTTGGCATTGTACTTCGCCCGAGCCGCCAAACACGGACAGGGCCGTAGCAAGCGGGTTTTCAGGTCTGCAAAAGGTTCTTGTGTCTGGGATTCCAGCTTTCGCTTGCATGCTGGCTGTGAAGGGGCATGCTCAGACCCAGAATCGGAAACCTCAGCGACCGAAGCCAGCCTCGAGCTCGAAGCCATTATGCCCGACCGTCCCACCCTCCCCGTCTTGGAGCGAAACACAACAAGAAAACATCTGCTGACAAACAAAGGGAAACTGCCGAAGATGCTGCCTCGGTGCTCTCATCACTTGCAGACAATCACTCATGCGGCAAACAATCAGACAAGCTCCAGCGAAGCACTGTTTTTGCACTCCCCCTCCAGTCAGCTCTCAGCCCCTGTGCAGATTGCATCGAGGGTTTAAGCACGAACCTTTGCGGTCGTAATTGAACGTTCTGCAGCTGCGGCCTCGGATTTTTCGCATGGCCCGAAACTGTAAAGAACAAAAACATGAGGCTCGAACACCAGCGATGCTCTTTGCCATCGAGGCCAGTTCCTGATGAGAAGCCGCATTCGTAGTCGGATAAACTACTAGGCAGGATGTGAGCCTCTTTGCCCATGATTCGGTGGCATCGCCTTTGCTTGTCCAGAGCCTCGGTAGGATTCGCAATCGTCAGCTAGTGGACATGATGGTTCCTAGTCGGATAAACTACTTGTGAATGGAAATGATGCGAGCCTCGTCCTGTCCTGGAACTCCATGTGTTTGCCTTTGCTTCAGCATGGCCTCGGCAGGATTCGTAGTCACATATACTACCAGTGGATATGATCTTGAGCCTCCGTGCGTAGATCCGGCCGGGCCTCGGCTGTTGGGACGATCGGATAAACTATTACTGAATAAACTATGCGAGCCTTCTCCTGTCGTGGAACTCCATGGCTTTGCCTTTGCTTCATCCTGGCCTCGGCAGGATTCGTAGTCACACACACTACCAGTGGATATGATCTTGAGCCTCCTTGCGTAGATCCGTCCTGGCCTCGGCTGTTGGGGCGATCGGACAAACTATTACTGAATAAACTATGTGAGTCCGTCCTGGCGTGGAACTCACCGGCTTCGCCTTTGCTTCAGCATGGCCTCGGCAGGATTCGTAGTCGCATAAACTGCTAGTGGCTGTGATCTTGAGCCTTCTTCCGTAGCCGTAGAGCCGGACTTTGCTGGAAGAGGGCCTCGGTTGTTGGGGCAGCCCGACAACATGTGATTGGAAATGAATCGAGCCTCCAGGCATCTTCATGGGTGCTGCTGCTGCTGCTGGTGCTGCGGCGGGGTCCGTGTTGCTGCTGCATGCTTCACTCAAGACCTGAGCTTGGTACAGCATCCAGGCCTGTGCATAGGCTTCCTGGAAGTTGAAGGCGGGCGGCTCGGCGGGCGGTGGTGGTGGCGGGAAAGGGGGTGGGGGGCAGGGGGGGGGGGTGGGGGCAGGGGGGCAGAGGGGGCTTTGGGGACGGGGGGGGGGGGGGGGGGGGGGGCCTTGCTGGCTGCTTCCGCTCGCCGTATGTCTCTCTTGTGCCTCCAGCCGAAGACTGTGAGCCGAGAAACGGCCTTTCTCATCGTCTCCCGGCGTTCTTCATCAGCACCTGCGATGTGGTAAAGGGTATGTAGGGTTGGGGTTTGGGGGAAGGGAGGAGGAGGAGGAGGAGGAAGCCCCACAATCAGACAAGACACTGTCAGAGCTGGAGCTGAAGAGGCAGTTGAGGATTTTCTTCCTCAGACATGCAAAGCAAACGAGAGCCTGGCAAGAACAGCGTGAATGCCCGTCCTCCTCTTTTTTTCCTTCTTACTTCCACTTTCCTTCTTCTTTCTTTTCTTAGAGCCACCTGCCACAGGCAAACGACAAGGATGATGCTGAGTGAAGGACGATCCGAGGCCTTGCATTGCCTTGCTCAGCTGCTTGAAAGGATCCTGCCAAGCTTGATTTTTTACCATGTCCGTAGAAGAACAGCGTGAAGCATATAACATCGATGTCAGGGTCCTCGTCATCAGGAGGTTCGTCCCCACCCGCCCCCCTCCGACAGCTGCTGCCATGATCTGAAACCGCTCACAGCTGCGATTGAGTTTGAAACATTCCATGCTAGCAGGCATGCAAGAACTCACACCAGCAGGCATGCAAGAACTCACACCAGCAGGCATGCAAGAACTCACACCTAGCCGATCTTTGTAAGATTGCACATCCAGCCCAGCCCTGTACAGGGCCGGGTGTCGGCACTGTCACATCTAGCCCTGTACAGGACCAGATAGACATCAGAAAACAGGCAACAGCTCAAGGCCCTGTACAGGGCCTCCAGCATGAAGAGGAAATGCCCAGCACCAAGGCGTGGCCCCGCACGATGCAAAACCAGCGATCGAAAGATGACTTGCTGCTGCAAAAGCTGCCGAAGTGGCAGGGATGTAAAAAATGTTCCCCCGAAGCTCAGAGCCCATCCGAATGAGGTGGACAAGACGAAATGCAGACCACTGCGGCCAACCATTCAGCAAGTACACTTTTGCTGCGAGAATCACAAAAAGCAGTGCCTGAAGAAGACAGCTTCCAATCCGAGGGGCCAACGGGAATGCCTAGATCAAGAGCAATGCCGGAGCCTGTGGGCATGCCTCGTGAATAAAGTACAATGTCCCTGGGCAGCAGTCCTTATGATGGTGCAACTCTGCTTGGGCGAGCGAGCCGGAGCAGCCTGCTGTGTACTCGTGTCGTGGCTCCAGAATATACTAGAGAACAACGGCAACCCGAGCTTCATCAACATCCCCGAAGATGTGAATGGCAAGACGAAATCCCGATCAGTGCCTATCTTGGCGGAATTCGCGAGCATGCTACGGCAATGGATGTTGACATCGCCCCTTAAGGCACCTAATGGTTCGCAGTGGCCGTTCGCCGAACAACCCCTTGGTCCAGACTGTTGTCTGTTTCCCGGGCATAAAATCTCCAAAGGCAGAGAGTTGCATCGTACGTGGACCCAGCCCATCACCACCCGTGCTTTCCTATACAAAATAGGAGAGGCTGCTGCAATCCTGCAGAGAGAGCGAGCCAACCGGCACGAGGAAGGTTTGCCTAGTATCTGGGACGATGTGGACCTTTCCAAACTGGGCACTCACAGCATCAAGCGAACATGTGTCTCGCTACTGAAAGATCAGTGTCGGTCGGGGGCTGTGGTGTCAGCAATTTGCGGCACAACAGCAGCAACCCTTGACCGGGTGTACGACACCCCCACAGCTCGTCGGCAGAGAGCAGCCCTCAAGGTTGCAGTGGGTCCTGTGCTGGGGTCTGTTGAACCTGCGGCTGCATTCTGCAACAAGTGCCAGAAGCAGCGGGGATGTCAGTCATGGTTTTTCTGCCCATATTGCGGGAAAGAGTACTAGTCTCACAGTCTCACACAGGATACTTGATGCCTTTATGCCAATGCAGAGAGAGTGCCAACACAAGCGAAACAAGACGTGGCAGGAAATCAGCCGAAAAAAACCAGACATGGGCTGCAAAGCTAGCATTTTCCTCGAGTTTTTCCTAGTTCCGATTCCTACTTCCGTTTTATTGTCAGAAAGAGAAGTAGGGAAAACCCGAGTAAAACCACCAATTCCTGAAGCACACGACAACCACACGAAAAACCCTCGCAAAGCACCGAGAAAACCATCGGAAGACCCCCCCAAGACCCCAAGACCCCCCAAAAAAGATCCCAAGAAACCCTAGGAAAACACCGAAAACCCGAGTAAAACCACAAAAGCGCCGAAAACCCTGCCCCGGCCCATTTAAACACACACTAAAACAACCCTCACAAAAGTCACTTCAAGACCCACCCAAGACAACCCTAGCAACCCAAACCGCAGGCAAAAAGCCGGCCGGCCTGGCATGGACGTCCAGCCAGCAGAGCCCGGGCCGAGCTCGTTCGCTGCTTTGGCTTGGGGTTCTGGGTTTTGGGCTCGGGGTTGGCTTGGGTTTCTGGGTTTTGGTTTGGGGGTGGCTTCGGGTTCTTGGTCGGGTTCTTGGCTTGGGGTTCTGGGCTTTTGGGCTTTTGGGTTGGGGTTGGCTGAGGGTTGGCTTGGGGGTTCTGGGTCCGGTTTTTGGCTTGGGGTTGGCTTGGGGTTCTGGGTTGGGTTTTCGTGTCTTGGGGTTCTGGGTTGGCACCCGAAGCTTCAGAAGGAGATGCCCCATAATAATGAGATGCACCCTAAACCCCCGAAAAAATAAGTCTTTCTCAATAGAAACCAAACTAAAAATAGATTTCTTCTTTCCTCAGATCGCTCTGTGTGAGCCAGAATGATTATCGCTGGGTTTGAGCCAGAAGCATTATCATCGTTCTGTTTGAGCCAGATTTATTGAATC